CATACGAAAAATCATACCCGAACCAACAAATGATACATCAAGCTCATCATCACATTCGTCCTTCTCATCTTTATACTCTTCTTCCTCTTCGAAATGTTACCGCCATCGAGAAAGGGATGAACCGGGTTTCAAGGACATGAAAACGTTAAAACAAAAACAATCGTCGTCATCTTTACAAGAGTTTTTTGATGATGAGATTGATGAGGATATGAATGAAGATGGGGAAATAAATTATTTCACCAATAAACATATTGATGTTAAAGGGAATTGCAAACGAACCAATGATATGTTGGACGAAGGTACTTTACGTGAGTGGGCTCAAATGTTGGGAAAATTTCCTGATTTGGAAGTCCATCCAGAATTTATGGAAGTTTAATTAATTTATAGAGATCTTTTCAAGACTATATTTAAAATATATATACACAGTAAATAATACCTTTACATAATTCTAATCTCCCCAACTTTTTTTTTAAAAATTCTTTCATTGTACAGTTATTAAACCTTTATTTAATCTAATGACCTTTTCGATATACTTTTTACATTATAATAATTTTAAGGAATGTAAAAGTATCTCAATTAATTGTAGCTAGCTTGATTTACTCATTTAGTTAGTAAAAATTAATGATGATCGTTTACAAGAAAAAAAAAAAAAAATAAGCAAATACGTTACTTATTATCTGATGAATCTGATTACATTGGAAATTGCATTCAATGAATATAATGAATTTTTATTTTTTGATTAAAAAAAATAAATAAAAATAAATAAATATAAAATATATTTGAGAAACCCCCCCCCCCCCCCCCCCGGTGGCCAATCTACTTCCAAACTGACGTAATTGATGCCCGGAATGCAGTTTCGAAAGTTTTGAGAAATAATTATTTTTCTTTTTTAAAAGATGAGACGCTAACTCGTTTTATTTGTAAATCTGATCTAATCTAGGTGGTATGATCTCATCAACGAGTACGTAATAGATCATCAGCAAAACTTGATCATTTCAAAAAGATTGTCGGTCTTGGGATGTATGTGATGTACGTGAGATTCGAAATTTTTTTCCGTGAATAAAGATTTATTTGGTAAAAAGTTAAGGTTAAAGATTTCGAAGGATTAATTATATAATCAGGAATTTTTCGGCTGAGCAAAACCGACCTTTTTTGCGTATAATAACGAAGTACAATAACAAAATAGATGAATGCTAATTCTCATATGTAAATACCACACGAAAATGGGATGTTAAGCAGGTTATCGATTCATAATAATCACATGCGCGTAAACGCATATGTTAAGATGAAAGGGAAAACCAAAGAGCTTAGACTTTTAGCCATTATTCTAGGCACGTTGGTGATGTATAATGTATAATGTATAATAAAAAAATATATAAATTACATATATATGAATAAATGAAGGACTTGATTAAAGAAGCCTAGTCGGTTGAGCCGTTTCGACGAGATAAGTATATTATTATTTTTTTCAAGATGTGAATAAAAAGATCAATTTAGTTGTTAAATTCCCCCTCCCCTTTTTTTTAAAAGAATATTTGGTTCTCATGTTTACAACAGGTAACAGGTAATATCATAAGATCTTCCATTGAGCCTAGATGAAACCGGATTGTATTAGCCTGAAATGCCAAGAAAGGCTTTGATATAACAAATACAACCACCATTAAAAGAAACCACTTTCGAAAATGCTAAAAGAAAATCACGGCTGATCCGTGCAGAAGTGAAGTTTCATAACAGGGCGTAATAGATTTGGAGGTTACAGTATCGTCCATCTAAGAAATCATTCCAAAAAACACTTATTGTATTCAAAAACGTTAGACCATCAAAATAAACGAGTTTTCCTGTTGAAGATCAAACTTTCAATTATAAATTTGAATGAAACCCAAACGAGAACTTGCATCTTTTTTTTTAAAAAAAAAAACGAGCCTATTCTTGTAACAGTTCGGTTTATAATTGGAACTCTTTACTTTATTTATGTTAATTCTTAGAAAAAAGTGTTAATTCCGGATTTTGGCGCAGTACATTTTCTTTTACTGCGGTCATAACGCTATTTTTTATTTCCGCCTGATTTATGATGTTTATTATTAGTGAAACAATACCGTTTCTGGTCGATCAAAAACCACCTGTTTATATTTTTTTTGGCCAGCCTTGCCAACCATGCGTTAGTTAAAATTTCAAAGATTTAGATTATCCTAATTTTTTTTTTTTGCGCAGACTTGAATTTCAAATCACTGATATCATCATGGATTTTTATTTTCTAACAAGCCTCCACGAAATCGTTTGACCGTTGCAAACAAGGGTATTATGCAAATCTGTATAGTATGTATGTATGAATGTATGTATAGTATTGTTCTTTGTTCTTTATACATGTATAGTAAGTATTACGCTTATTAAAAACCGTATGGATCATTTTGTTATTAAAATCGTATATGTATGGTTTTAAAGTATACATACCATGAATACAAGAATCATACTATAAAAACATTCGAAGCCATACTATACAAATTTGCGTTATACTCTGCAAAAAAATATGCTTTGCTTTACGTGTTTATTAAAGCCACCTACCTACCTACTAAGTCACATAAAAAAAAAATAAATAAAGGGCTTATTCAAATGACAAAATAAAACCATTCATCCCCAAAAATAAAATACTAAATAAGATAAAATTTTATTTCGTTCTAACTATTTAAAGAAGTTTTCGTAGGTTGTGAAATTAAAGGATGATGTTCAACAGACGAACATTAACGATTTTCGCGATCGCATTGGTATGTCATGTAATAATATCCGCTGCACAGGAATCCATACCAAAGATTGTTGGGATCGATGAAAATAATAAATATATTGATGAATTCGGTAGACAGAGGTTCTTTCGTGGACTCAATGTTGTAAGTATTGGAAATCACTTGGTGCAAATATATATATATATTTATTTATTTTGATAATATTTGATGATTGTTGTTTTGTGAAAGGTTTATAAAGGATTCCCGTATCATCCTAACATTGATGCATTCGATCCGGTGACTTCGTTTACCGAGAAAGACATGGAGGTAATGAATGATTGATTGTGCATGCTAATTATAGCAAAATATTGAAATTATTTTGATATATTAGATCTTGGCTAGTGTTAATATGAATATCATTAGACTTGGCGTTTTATGGGTCGGAGTTGAACCGGAACGAGGAAAATATAATGAAACTTATTTAAACATCATAAAAAGTATTGTGGATAAGTGTAGTGCGTACGGAATTTACGTGTTACTTGATTCTCATCAGGTGAGAATAAAGATATTTTAAATATCATTGGTATGTTTTCGTCAAATTAAAAAAAAACCATCACCTTCTTTTTCGGCTTATGTATTAAAGGATGTAATGAGCGACTTATTCTGTGGAGAAGGCGTAAGTACCCCAATTATAAAAGGGAAATCCCACCCGTCTTTTCCTGACACTTTCATTCTTACTTTCATGATATAGTTCCCAAGATGGGCGGTTCGAACAGATGGTGCATGGCCATTTCCGCTTCCGATAGGCTCACCAGCAGTATATGATCCAGTGACTGGACTTCCGGACAAGCATACTTGTGAAAGGGTAAATTGGGCATTGCTATATTTTTCAAATGCGGTGAATGAAGCATGGCAAAGATTATATGATAATTTTGATGGTTTAAGAGATGCATTCGCTGCTCAATGGGTAAAGATCGCTTCGTTATTTAAAGATAGTAAAAATCTGATTGGTTATGATTTACTTAATGAACCTTGGCCTGGTGATACTTATGAAGATATTGGCCTTTGGATTCCAAAAAGTAAGACCTCCATTACTTTTCTTTCTTTCTTTCTTTAAAATTTTCGGATTATAAAGATATTAATCGATAAATTTTTATTTAAAGAAAACGTTCGTAAAAATTTAGAACCATTTTGGGATGCGATTAGCTCCGATGTACGTAAAGTTGATAATAATAGTATCGTATTTTTTACGGGGGTTACGTGGGACATATTTGGTAATGAATATGATCATGTGCCGGGAGGTCCCGCTTATAAAAATAGAAGCGCGTTTGGTTATCATTATTATAAAGAAGTTAGAATAAAACCACCTCATATTGATCTTCAAGTCCATATAGAAGATCTTAATCGAACAGGTGGTGCAACAATGGTAACTAGATCTTGCCTTTTTTTTCACTTTTTTTTTGTTTAACAAAAATATACTCGAAAGATTATACGGTGTTGATCGACCTTTTTTTTTTTGATTGTCACCCAGCTAACGGAATTTGAAGCTGCTTATGATGGTGGAAAGAATCTTCCGGGTTTACTTAAAATCATACAAGCAGCCGATCAATATTTACAATCATGGATAGGATGGCAATATAAAGATTTTTTTCCATTAACAAGACAATTATTGGGGGATGGTTTAGTTCATCCAACATCGGGTGAAATCAGACATGATGTTGCAGCAATGTATTCTAGAACCTTTGCTGAGGCTGTCTCAGGAAATACTATTAGCATGAAGTTTGATGAAAAAAATGGATTTAAGTTGATTTATAAAATCAATTCAACCATTACGAAACCTACTATTATAAAGATTCAAGAAAAGTATCATTATAGTAAAGGGTTTATTGTAAATATTTCTCCAATAGGTAAGGTTGAATGGAAAAAGGATGGGAATTCCATTCTGGTGAATCCCATCAAAGGAGCAAATGTTAAAATGGGTGAAATCATTACGGTTAATATTGTTCCAATAGTTTAGACCATACTTTTGTAAATTTTATAAATATTGCTCGGATTTTTTAAAAAATAAGTTTATATCATTTAATTAACCTTTATCCTTAAATGATTTTTAACGAAGAAATTGTAAATCTCGTGGCATGGTTAATTGATGCAAATATCCGAAATCTAATTTTATTACACGAATCAATATAGATAAATAAATTAAAAGTCTTAAATAATTATATGTTTTGTTGAATTCAACTAGAGTATTACGAACGAGAAAAGAGATTATCGATGGGTTCGTCACTAGTTGTCGGAGGTAGTGATCAGAGATAATCGAACTTGAAGGTTTTCAATCGTTGAAAAAAGTTCGTCAATTCTTTCTTTATGATCAGATTCGTCTTGAATACTTTCTTCTAATAATTGATCTAGTCTTTCTGTAGATTGATTAATTTGTTTAATTAATTCTTCGTGAGCGTCCTTTGTAGACTTAATAGCATCTCTCATTTTAAACATCTTTTTTAATGTATCTAGTGCGATTTCCGTTTCTTGATCTTTAAATTGTGTATATATTTCCATTGCTTCTGGACTTTGAATTGACTTATTGGTATATTCTTGCATAAAAGTATCTAATGAAACATCGAATAGATCATAATCCTAATGATGATAATAATAAGTAAAAAATAATTAATTAAAAAAAAAAAGAATATAAACGTATTATTTATAATATTATTTTCACCTCAAATAGATAATCAGAAGTTAATCCGGGTTTAATATGAACTCGCCATAAACTATTTGCCAAATTCAAATTATAATTCTTTAAGTTTTCAGAATTCATCTTAAAGAATTTTTTTTTTTCCTTCTCTATCAAGTTATTAAACTCTCCTCTGGCATCGGTAGTTTGATGATAATTTCCAATCAACTTCTCGGTAAACCTAAAATCAGCATCAGAAAATATTATGGCATGTTCAAAATCAAAGGAATCCCAATCTTTGGGAAAACGATCTGAAAATTTGGTCATCTTATCATAATAATAAGAGACTCCCATATCTATGGCTAAATTTGACATAAAGTTGATGAGAGAAGTGTAACGGGTAGGTAATGATAACGTGTTTAAAGTGGTCGTGTTCATGTGTTGAATGCAATCTTTCAAGAATTTGGAAAATAAAATTCCTGTCAATGCCTTGGAATTGATTTGTTTTGTGGAAAGCGTATCGTAAATGTCGGAAACCGTTTCTGAAGTTTGAGCAACGAAATCTGGGTCAAGTTGTGACGTTTTAACTTGTTCTAAATTATGAAGAACCTTTTTTTTACACCCTGGATGCTAATAAATAAATATAAAAGTCTTCTTTTTTTAACAAAAGATTAAAAAAATAATTTGCCTTTTTTTTAAAAAAAAAAATATATATATATATATACAAACAGGCAAAGCGTAAACGTCAAAATCCTCAAAATGATTTAAGATTCCATCAGCGGCTACATAAAAATCATTATTATTATTTTTATTTTTAAAAAAAATAATCCATTAAAAATATAAAATAAAAATGTTTTTTGTGTACTAAACTGACCATCAGGATCAACTTGAGTCAATTTCTCCAGAAAATATTCCTTAAAATCATCAGGACATTCCAATCCAAAATCCCTCAATAACACGACAAGTCTTGGTAAATAATCCTTTTCATTCTCTTCACCTTTTGCCAAAAATTTACTTAAATCAGTCATCATGAATAATTTTCCAATATCATCCCTACCAACGATACCATTAATATTGTAAATAAAGGTAGATGAGATGGCGAGGCATAATATAAATAATTTCATGGCCCAAGTTTCATCCTGATTCGGGTCATCAATTCCTTCACAATCCAATACTATGACTCTGTGATTGTTGTAAAGAAATGGTGTATCCCACATAAAAATTCCTTTGGTACAACTTTCTACTTTGGAACCGAGTTCAAAACCGTCATGCCTTCCATGTAGAACATTTGCAAAGTAAGATTTTCCTCTACGATATGAACCGACTTTTATAAGAAAGAAAAAAATTTTTTACCGTATTAATTTATTAACAAGAGATAAAAAAAAAAAAAAAAGGTTAAAAAATAAATGAATGTTTAAGGTTACCGACTGAAATGATCGCAACAGGTTCTTCAATATCTTGAATGATTTTAAGAGATTCTTCAATTAGTGTTATCGTTCCAATCTCATCATTCTCATATTTAACAAGTTGAATTGCTTTTCCTTTACGATAAGGTATATTTTCTCCAAATTCATTTCCATCATCATCTTGAAAATACATTTTTTTTTATTTTATTTTATTTTTATATATTTTATTTTTTCCACGGAAATTGAAGAAATAAAGGAGAAAGGGCGAAATTTCATTGTATTTATCTTAAAATTAGTCATTGTTTCCGTATTTAGCCAAATTTAAGCTTTCATACAAATTTGGTTATAACAAAATGCAAGTACGTAACCTACTTTATTATTGTCTGAAAAAAAAATGCACGAGCCTGGGACACCATTCCATTATTAGCATTATAACTAAGGAGTGGAAGTTCTTCTAGGAATCCAATGTTATTCGCCATTCGAATACGGCGCAGAAATTCTTACTAAGCTGCGCCGCATGTGTTTACTATCTACTGTATCCCTTACCGAACGTTCATTATTTTTCGAACACACAATTTATATCCATTCATTTTACACATAAACAAACAAGTAAAGTAGGTGGATTGACATTTAATGTTTTGAGGAAATGGACAAGAAACTGATCAAGCCGTTTTCCATTGGCGTCAATCTAAAAAAAAAAAATATTCGGAAATGAAGTAATCTAGCTTTTTTATTTATTAATTAATTTAATACAAATGCATTATGATGATTATATTTACTTGAATTCGAGTAACTTGAGTAACGTATTAGCTTTTATTGAAGCCAATTCAAAAGAAATCTATTCTTCGAATAAAAAAGAAAAGCCGAATCTAATGGTTGAAATTTTTAGAGGAAGTTCTATTTATTTCTCTAAAATTTTCATAAGCGACTTGTAAGTTTTGACACAAAGTATTATGATTAACAGAACTAACGATCCAACAAATTATACCGTAGGTTTGCATAAGTTTATGTAAGTATGCGTTAATTTTCAACAGGTTCGTAAGTTTCGTAAGTTTACGCCATAAATCTGCGTAAGCTTCAATAAAAATGTAAATTGCGTGATTCCGATAATTACTCTTATAAGAAAAAAATATTTTATTTATTTGTTATTCACAGTTATATACTTTGTGAAAATATTTAGTGTTTATATAGTGTAGTTTATCGGAAACATAATTCGCAAGCTCTCAAGTTATTTAATTATTACACTCAACAATCTTCATCACATTGATCTAAAGTTTAGCGATATTTAAAGACGCGAATTTGCCATGAAACGAAGCAATCGAAATTTAGAAGTAAACGCACAAAAAGTTTCCACCCTTTCATAATATAAAATCATTTATATAATCACAATCCCTTTTATTGAATGGATCTCTTTGAAACCTTTAAATATGTGATAAGTTCCCATTGCTCAAAATTATTTATTAACTTGATTCACATATAGTCTTGGATTTTACAAAACAGCCATACTATAGTGCAAAAGACACGATAATGAAATCCTTAATCCATAGTTCAGTGGGAATTTTGTATGTACTAACACAGTACTTGTACTGTACTTGTATAATGTACTAAATGAACTAACTGTACTAATCATTGTAATAGCAGTACTTCCCGAGCCATGTCCTTTTTTGTTCATTTTTTTTTAAAAGAATATAACAACAAACTTAAGCTGTCATCGATCATTTAAAGAATTGCAAATGACCTCACGCTGTCTCTTGAGAAGAACTTCATATTTATTAGAGTGTAATTAGTGATTATGGTTCGAATATCGTTTAGAATTAATCGAATCTCGAATTATATCCGGCTTCATTTCGGATATTCGATCTGAGATAGTGCTACAAGATGTACGTGTACTACTTCATTTCGAAACAAAATCACAGTTCTTATTACCAAACTGAAGTGGCGTGGAAAGTGGCGTAATATCGATAAAAAGAATGTTGTACACTTGGAATGTTTTTTGTGAAACATTTTCAAACTTGTACGAAACTTGAAAAAAAGTCGATATCATGTACTGCAGATCAGGGATTGATTTCTGAAATGAGAATGTTAATGGCTTGCAAAAAGTTTGTGTTTCAATCGAATGGTAATTATGGCTAACCGTCATCAGAAGGTTAACCGATTTCCAATTGATTAACCAAAATTGCAGATTTGTTACCAATTTTTACTTTTGTGGTGACTTCTAAATAAAAGGTCAGGAGGATGATGGCGTAAAGTTTAGTAAACAATGGAAAAAGAAAAAAAAGAGCATTTTTGAATTAATCTCGAATTCTTTCACAATGGATGTGTTGCGCTATGCTCATGAACGGTGAGATTATGTGCACCATTTTGCAATACATTTACCTATAAATTCTGTGGTAAACCTTCTGAAGGCATGTATTAAATGTTGTGGTTAATTTTGGAAAGTTTATTACAACAAGTCCTTTTGTTTTACATTATTGATCACAAAATGTACGAATTAATCAAAATTTTCGTTAATTTAAATTAGGTCAGATCAACCCCATTCTAAGTTGACAATAACTATTGATTAGCCCACAATTTTTAAAAAGAAAAGGGCTATAAGAGGTAATATTTGTTGAAATCTTATATTGGCTTTTACTGCTTGTTCTTCATTTTATTATTTATTTAAATAAACATTTCATATTATTTTTTTTTTTTTTTTTTTTTTTTATATCTTACACACCACACCACCTTACACTCTTTTATATATCAACAAATTTTAAACCTCTTTTTTTTTTATCGTAAAAAAAATTTTTTTATTTTCATTTCCTTTTTCTTTTTTTTTTTTTTTACTTCAAAGTAAACTATGGACGTTCGTGAACTTCGATCGGTAGCAATGTCTATCATACTCAAACAAAGAGTTTGTCGAAAAATACCAAAACCTTCATCTTTTCGTAATAAACAGCAAGAAACTCAAACTTATCCACCAATAAACCATAACAGACATCAACCTTATCAATACAAAGAAATTGACGTCTCAGTCTTTGACGCTTTGTTTGAAGGAAAACCTATCGAGAATATTCAAACAATAATTCCTTCACAAAACTCTTCAACGACGTCGACAAAAAAATTTAAAAGTAACTCTCGATATAGATATGTCATAGACAAGGACTTTTTCAAAAATTGTAGAAAGCCAGTATCACAACTCATACTTTATTGGGAAACCGTCTGGTTAGTTGGAAAAGCTACCGCTGGAAGGTGTGCTGGTTGGGATTGGTAAAGGTTCTAGCATCCCAACAAAATTTATTTATATATAAATCCGCCCGTACATAATAACATTCATGCATAGACTTGTATATTTTATTTTATTTTACTTTATTTTATTTTTTCATCCAAAAATTCCTATCAAATTAATTCGTTAGAAACACTTTTCATTTGTATTTACATTTTAATGCTTATATTTTTAATAAAATTTATTAATCCTTTAGTCAAATACGGCTTTCCTTTTATTCCTCCTCAATAGTTTCGATATATTGTTGAATAACCTTTGCTCCATACTTGAAATCCACCATTTTCACCCATGTTTCAATATCATTTGATTTATAAGTTCCAAGTTTAACGCTAACTATCGCTGATTGATTCTTAAAGTAAACCTTTGAATTTATAACAAAGGGTTTGGAATCAATTTGAGCTTTGATTCTATTAGCACATCCTTCACAGCTTATTCCATTTATTTGAACAACAAATGTTTCTATTTCTCTCACAAAGATTTGCTTTGAATTAGTCGAAGAAATTATCTTTCCTTGATTATGTAAAGAAACTAATTCTGGTGAAGCAGTTAATAATATTGATATTAGCAAAGTTATTAAGGTTCGTTTTGAATTGAATCCATATTTAGTTATTGTATATATGATTAAAATTGCGGTGAAAGATAGAAAGAATGGACGATATGGTGTTAAAACACTGAATCCCGCACAACCGATCGAAAATAAGTTGAGGATTAGCTGTATAATACAACAACTTGAGCTTAAAAGTCCTGTAATAATTGCCCAAATATATGAAGATTTATTATCTGAAGATAATGAAGTTTTAGGTTGCATTGCTTTTTTTTTTTTTTTTACTGAAATTTGTAGATTTGAAATAAATCCAAAAAAAAAAAACAAAAATTATTTGTGTGGATTTAATAAATCCAAAAAAAAAATTGCGACATGCAAAAATGACTAAAAATGACAAAAAATTTTTTCAGGGTTCTCATTGGTCAAAATTTTGTTACATAATTTATATTCTAAAATTTTTTTGGAAATATAATATGCAATATTTATTTATAGACCACTTATTTAGTATATAAACTAGGGTGGGCGTTGAGGCTGCGATATTTATTTTTTATAATAAAAAAAAAAAAATTATTATTATTATAATTATAATTATTTTTGTAAATAATCATTACAGTTAATTTCACAAATACAAAAAAAGAAATAGAGTTTAGTTAATTGAAATAAAGAAAATACGAGATTATAGTAAGTTTTAATCTTTGTTTATTTCTTTCTTGATTTTGGTCTGCCTTTTTTGATTGTTTTTTTCTCTTATATTGGTAAGAGGCTTTTTGCTACTATTTCGAGTCTTTCATATTTTTTGATTATTTCTGGGTTTATCATAAATGCGGTTCTTTTGAGTGCAGCTATCTGGATGTTGTTCTAGTAAGACAGTAGGAACATCTGCTAAGGATTATATATACCTGTCCAATTAAAAATATTTAGGCTAATAGATATGTTTTTTAGGGTAAGATCTTGAGTTTTATGAATAGTTAGGGTATAGCAATTTTGGAGTAGGAATTGGTGATGGCTAGCAGGGTTTCTGTCAATGGTGAAGTGGCTAATGTCTGGTTTTATTTTCAAGTCTATATATAATTCTGTTTAGCATACTGAAGGATATTTGAACAGTATTTGTTTCTAAGTTGATATCTGTGATAACTCACTCTGATGGTTTCATTGCAAATATTGATGTTTGATTTGAGGTTTTTTAGGTACATGACCTTTGCTTCTTGTTGGAGTCGAACTGAAGTAAGTAGGTTTGTTTTTGATTTGAAGAATTGCTCTGTTAGGTTGACATTCTATTGTTCTCTGTTTATTATATCAATAGAGTTAGAAATCATAAATTTGTTTAGTGTCATTGGTAGGGTATTGCAAATTAAGCGATTGATTTTGTTTGCTGTTTTGTGATATCCTATGATATTTGTTGTATTTAATAGGAGGTCAATCAGTTTATTAGGATCAAATTGTTCTTGCTTTCTTTGTAGTTTTTGACTTTATTTTTTCTGTTATGTTTTCTAAGCAGATGTTTTATAACATATTATATAGGCCAAAAAGGGGATTCTGGGACAGATTTCAAATATACCTCAAATATACCTCCAAACCCGCCTACGAATCCATTTTAGCTATATGAATCAATTATCAAATTCAAACCTCTAGCGCATTTTGACTCAATTCTAGATGATGTTATCGAATTT